CTTACCCCCATCCCGATGTCAGCCTCATTCTACAACAGTGGCACCATATAGCATTTGTCCCTTTGTGACTGAGATACCTCGCTCAGCATAATGTCCTCCAGGGTCACCCATTTTGAATAATTTTGCACGAGTTCCTTGATATTCAATGCAGCATAATATTCCATTGTGCGAAATGTGATTGGATATGTGTCACTTCAGGTTAGAATTGGACAATTTAAAATCAGCAAACAAAACTGCCGAGAGTGTTTCCTAAAATCTCCTTGAGTATTCTCATCTCATTAGCAGAGATATAGAAAACATGTAGTATTTTTTAAAAATACTTCAAAAAATACTTTCCAGGAAGAATAGAATTTTTAAAAGAACAATGAAATCTAGGGGGAATTTTGGCAAATCTGAAGACCTTATATAGGTAAAAGTGCTTGGATATTTTAATTTCATAATATTTTTTAAAATTTTATTAGTTTTAATGAACATTTACAGAGATTTTGGGTTTTATTCATTCATTGTTGCACTGTTTTCTCTACCCTCCTCCCCAGTTTGTTCTTCTTTCCCCCCCAAATGTCTGTTTTAATTGTCCAATTGCCTCAGTGCTTGTCAAAGCCAGTTCTGGTTAATCTCCTTTGTCAGTGTGTCCTTTGCCATTCCCTATCACTCCTCCCTTAATCTTAAGACAAGAGACATGTTGTAAAAATTAGTAACAGATATTTTAAAAATCAAGCAGAATTTGTTTAAAACTGTCAAGTCACATTTTAGAAGCTGAAGTAATTTTCTGCAAAAAAGAAAAGGCAAAAGTGAATCATTTAATGACAAACACACAACTTCTCATAGAATATTAACTCCTGTTCTACTCCCTTAGGATTGTTTTTAATTGTTTCTGGTCAAACATTCTTCTAGGTCATATGACCCTTGTCTGTCCACTTGCTGTACAGAGATAGCTCATGGTTGCTGGGATGCTGAACACTGTGACACTGATGTGTCAAATGCGATAAGGCGACCCATGGTAGACAATGTTTGTTAGAGCTCCCAATTAAAACAAGCTTGGAAGCAGCAGTGGCATCCACTTCCAAAATAGCTTCCCACCAGAAACCCTATAAACCTGGAGAAAGGATGCAAGTTATACAAGTGTTCAGGTATTTCATCCATAGGGTCACTATGAGTCGTCTATGACTCAGTGGCACTTAACAAAAACTGTCTTATCCAGGCAAGAGTATCTCACCAAATGGAAAGTAGCTAGAAGCTGATTTGTTGTGTTTTCTTACGGTGTTACATAGAGGGTTTCTGACTTCTAGATTTCTTCTCCTCTCCTTGTTCTAATGGAGATATCAATTTGGAGGACCGGAGGGGAGGCTGCCATTCTCTCTCCCTCTTGCCTCCCGCCTTTCATCTGCTCTTTATCCTAATCAAAGACTGAACTTAAACTCCCAGTAGATTAATTATCTTCCAGCTTTTTCTTTTCACAGTGAACCCATGTCTTCATTCACAACTTTTCTGGCCCTGGTCGTTCATTCTTTTAGATGGCAACTCTTCTTTAATTCATCTTGATTTTGTTCCTGTTCCTCTTTGCCTGTTTTATCAGAACTCCTTTACAATAGGTGAATACTGCTAGAAGAAAACAGTCATTGTCTTTTAAAAGCATACACAAGATACACAGTATCCTCCTATGCAAAATACAGCCTCCGAAAACCCACTGGAGAGTCATCTATGAATCGTTTCTGACTTGATGGCACCTAACACCACCACCATCATGTCTTAGCTCTTCCCAATTACTTCCTTAAAGTACCACAGAGATCTTTTTATGTATTGTTTCTTGCTGAACAAGATTAAAAGAAGGACAGAATTAAACTGATCATTATCTAATCTAAACAGTTCATAGGCAAGCCTCAAAAAGCACCTTGCATGTAAATGAACAACATGCTCACCCTGTGGGTTTCTTTACTTTGGGCTGAGTCACAATGTTTGCATTCTTTCTAAGAGTGCACTTTCCAGCATGTGGCTAGAAAAAAATGGTTGATTCTCAAAACCCCTGGGCTAAGAATTGAATGACTTCAGGTTAAGAATGGTGATCATGAGCATTCACTTCCCGGGAAGGCCAATCCTACCTTTGTGATTGCAGTGAAGACCTTTTCCAGAATGGCATTTGGCTGCGCAATCTGTGGTCCGTTGGCCTGGATGTTGAGGGCTATTGCACATGGTTTGGCTATAAATCTAAAAATTAGAAGAAAAAAATTCAAATGTGTGTCAGAAATTATTCTCTTTGTGGCCTTAACTGCCACCCGTTACACATTCTTTAATGCTCCCAATTAGGTGCTTCTATAAGCACACATGCTCAACACTCAGGTTAGTCAATATAAAGCAGGTGTAACTTCTGCTGTCTCCTTTAGTCTCCCATCAGCAACCATAAAAAGAAATCCTCTCAGATCATCTGCACATCTGACCTTTAAATGTTAATGAGTAAGACTTAATAGCTAGATTGTCAAATGCCAAACACACCTCTATAAAAGATATAAATTATATACACAACCATGTCATTGCTGCTTTGTTCACAATAGCAGAGAATTGGAAACAACCCAAGTGCTCATCAACAAATGAATGGATAGCGAAGCTATGGTATATTCACACAATGGAATACTATTCAGCAATGAAAAACAAGGAATTCATGACATATATAAAATGGGTGACCCTGGAGGACATTACGCTGAGTGAAAGATCTCAGTCACATAAAAATACATATTGCATAAGGCCACTGTTATAAAACAGGACTGACATCGGGGCTGGGGGAAAACTAAGAAAAGAGGGGATAAATAATGAACACTGCATTGAAATAGATGAGGGAAAGACCTGCTTAAAAGGAATATATGATTCGGTATTATTTGCATGACAATAGTCCAGAATAAGAGCTGCATAGTAAAGTGGATTTGGGTTGGGGTGGGGAATTGTACAACAATGAAAGAATTTTTTTTTCAAAGTGAAAAGTGAACTGGGGGCAGAGGTGGGCAGGGAGAAAAATGTACAACAATAAATGAATGGAAATCCAAGTTCTCTTAAAAAAAGATATAACCAAAATAAATCTTGGTTTCAAAATTATAAAGCTTATATGTTTTTACTAGGTCTGATACACTATCAATAGTTACATTACACTGTTTTTACTATGAATACGGTTGCTATGAGTTGCAAGCTACTATACGGCACATAACAAGTGTTTACTAAGCATCTCTTTACACAAGAGTGGTTTTGGTCGCCATCAGGAACCTATGTAATGCAAGTGGCTACAGCTGGTACAGCAGTTTCAGCTGCTTCTTGGAGAAGGATCGGCAATCTCCCTCAGCACTTTCAGAGGCGATTTACAGCCTCTGAAAACCCACTGGAAGGTTAACAGTGAGTCAGCTTCAACTCAATGGCACATAACAACAACAACCACCTAAAAGGGAACTCAGGTGGTGTAGTTTGTAGTGCGTTGTGCTGCTGACACAAAGGTCAAGCTTCTCTAACAGTTTTAATCCACCAGTGGCTGCATGGGAGAAAAACAATTCCCTCCATGCTATTTATATCCCTGAACGCTCATTAGCTGGTCAACTATGAATCAGTTCCAACTTGACAGTAATAAGTTTGAGTTTTTTGAGTTTGACTACTCAAAAGGATTGGCAGTTTTCCAGAGACAAAAACTTTATCTGTTCCCAAGAAAAATCTTACAAAGCTCCGTTCTGTTCTGCAGCACATGGGATAGCGAGCAGTCAGAGTAAATTCAAGTGCAGGTTTAGGGTTTTGCTCTTAGTCATGAACTTGACCAGTTGTCTCCATAATAGCCAACCAGCTGCCACTGAGTCAATGCCAACTCAGGGTAACACCATAACTGCAGGTACAATTGTGCTCCATATACTTTTCATAGGTACAACCTTTTGGAAGCAGATGGCCAACTCTTTAAAGAATTGCCTCTGAACAGCATTACTGTGGGACTGGTTCCTATACTAAAAGCATAGAAATACTCTGCTCCAGTTCTTGTGGCTTCTTATAATCTTCTGCTCTGTAGGGACATTTGATTCTTTCTCACAAGGTGTTAAGGAAGAACCTTAATAATGACCAAACAAGTTGAAATATCCAAACTGTTTGTGAGCATTCAAAAAGCATAAGTAAATGACTTATCTCAAGGTGAACTGAGATAAGTTAGCCACCATGCCTGATGGCTAAATGGAGCAATAAATGAACAAAGATGGGGGATATGGGGTTCCAGAGGTCTCTAAAACTGTGTAGAAGCTTAAAAAAAACACACAACAAAAACCCCTTCCAGTTATTTACAACTGAATAAAGATAGTTTAAACTGTTGTTAAGTGCCATCGAGTGAGTCATAGCGACCCTATGAACGAAAGACCTGAACACTTGTATAACTTAACTTTCATCCTTTCTCCAGGTTCACAGGATTGCTGGATGCAAGCTTTTTTTGAAAGTGGATGCCACTCTTGCTTCCAACCTTGTTTTAAGTGGGGAGCTCCACCAAACACTGTCCACTGTGGGTAATCATTATCACATTTGACTCATCAGTATCACAGTGTTTAGCATCACAGTAACCACATTTATACAAGAAGATTCTGCAACTATTTCATTTTAATAGTTATAGTTAATATTTTCCATTAGTAAAAAATTAAACATACAGTTCAGTGAGAATTACTAGGTTCATCAGGCTATACATGTATTTCAATCATATTCTAAGAAACTCAATGTTCCTAAGTTAAGATTCCATCTTTCCCCTTCTAACCCATCCCTGTTGTTGTCATTGTCAGGGGCTTTCAAGACAGCTCCAACTCTCTGGGTCCCTTTCTACAACGAAGTGCTGCCAGTCCGGCACCATCTCCCAATCCTGCTTGTGAGTGAGCCCACTGTTGCAGCGACTGCATAAATTCATCTTCTAAATTCATCTTCACTGACCCTCTACTCTACCAAGCATAACGTCTTTCTCCAGGGGCTAATCACGTCTAATACCACATCCACAGTACATGAGATAAAATTTCACTATACTCACTTCCAAAAAAAAAAAAAAGTCAGCAGTTGACGTGTTTGGAATCACAGAAGCCAAGAAAGCTTAAGATACAAGCTGTCAGATCATGGGTTGGACAATGGAAGATATTTTCTGAAGGGACTTGGCAGATGTGAAGGGTTATCCTGGTGGAAGGTAGAG